AACGCATTCGTTTTCATATTTGAGAAGAAAAGAAAATTGCCGGAAACGCTCCGGAAAACTCACAGTAATACCAGTACTAGGAGTAGGAGTAGGAGTAGGGGTAGGAGTAGGAGTAGGAGTAGGAGTAGGAGTAGGAGTAGGAGTAGTAGTAGTAGTAGTAGTAGTAGCAGTAGCAGTAGTAGTAGTAGTAGTAGCAGTAGCAGGAGTAGCAGGAGTAGCAGGAGTAGCAGGAGTAGCAGGAGTAGCAGGAGTAGGAGGAGTAGGAGGAGTAGGAGTAGGAGTAGGAGTAGGAGTAGTAGTAGTAGTAGTAGTAGTAGTAGTAGGGGTAGGAGTAGGAGTAGGAGTAGGAATCGGAGTAGGAGTTCTAGTAGCAGGGCAAGGGAAGAAAGGGAGAGGGAGGGAAAGAGAGAAAGAGAGAGAGAGAGAGGGAGGGAGGGAGGGGAACAGATGGTTGCGTTTGGCCGGTTTCTGACGGGTTTCTGACTGGTTTCTGACTGGTTTCTGACCCTTCAGCGGGACTCGTGTCAATTGGATTTAAAAGCAAAGGCAGAAATTCCTAGGTGTACTAGTGGTAGTGGTGGTGCAGTAGCAGCGGGTGTGGTGGTAGTACTAGTTACTAAGAGTAGTAGCAAGTCTAGTAATGAGAGTAAGGATCCATGCGTGAACGCATTCGATTTCAAATTTGGGAGCAAAATACACTTGTGCGGTCCGGAAACGGTCCGGAAAACTCACAGTAGTACCAGCAGCACTAGCAGTAGCAGTAGCAGTAGTGGTAGTGGAAATTGGAATAGGGGTAGGCGTAGGAGTTCTGGTAAGAGGGTGGGGGAATAGGCAAGGGAGAGAGAGAGAGGTTGCGTTTGGCCGGTTTCTGACTGGTTTCTGACTGATTTCTGACCCCTCAGTGGGACCTTTGTCATTTGGAAAAAAACAAAGGCAGAACTTTCGAAATGTAATAGTGGAGACTGCCAGTATAATGCCACTATATATATTGTAATAGCTTCGGGTATCTTACCATCCTCCTTACCGATCACCAGCCCCGTTCTGTTTTCGACGCATTCCTTTAGGGGTATGCATTAAGTCGCGCAGGGCCCTGGATCGCTCCCCCCAAGAATACGTAGGTAGTACTAAGAGTAGTAGCAAGTCTTATAATGAGAGTAAGGATCCATGCGTGAACGCATTCGATTTCAAATTTGGGAGCAAAATAAGCTTGTGCGGTCCGGAAACGGTCCGGAAAACTCACAATAGTACCAGCAGCACTAGCAGTAGCAGTAGCAGTTGTTTCAAATTCAGCAGAAAAGCAATGATATTACAAAGAATTAGCATAAGATTTTTGTCACGATTCATTATATAATACATAATTTATATTTTATGATATTTTATGTCTATGATCTGATCAACGAAGAACAAACCCTTCCGCGATTGCTCACTGTGGTACCGCGGTTGCTACGCGATTGGCTGAGCGATTGAGGGCTGTCCGGGAAAAGGTATTTTGGACAACCCCCATATATATATATTATAATATAAATCTATCATATCTACTATACGTATAAATGTAACTAACTTGATTTCGCTAGCTGGAAGCCTCCTGAATGGACCTCTCTTGTGAAGAGAATGCCGTGGTTCCCAGCCAACTTGGCAACAACTAATTACGGCCCACCACAAGCTCGCCATTCCCCCAGACAGCGAACACTGTGATCATCATCACACCCAACGTGTTCAAGAATGAAGTTGTCAAAGAAGCGCTTGACACTCAGGACAAAGTCAATCGGATAAGCCAAACTATACGAAAGCAAATCGCCCAAAATCATGGAGCACCCAGGTACGAGGCTTCAGTGACGACCAAGAAGAATGCAATTTAGCTGCAAGAAAATGGATGAGACCTGCAGAAGACTGGAGTATTGTTGAATGAGTCTCCTGAGAAAGGACTACAGTAGAAAGGACTTTGGTTCTCTCAGGTGGTGTTCCTCCATCACATTGTCTCTGGATGCAGCCTGGAAGAAGAGGCAAAAGGGCAGCAAGGGTTTGTCATGATCTGTCAATCTTTGATCAGAGGGACCTGCCGGAGTCATGCTGAATGCCAGGCTGCGCACGCCCCAGAAGAGCTCAAGAAGTCGGTAGACAAGATCTTCAAAGATCCTTTCCGGCAAAGCATTTCTGAGTGTATATTATAATCTGTTTGCGGGTACTATGATGTTCAATGTAGAAATTAGTGGTAGAGCAATGTACAACACATCAAATCTTCATAAACCTTCATCATGGGGAGTCTTTTCCAATCTGGGCCATGTTTCAATTGCGTAGTGTCAAGTGGGCGCCGTAGATGGGATCATGCCTCGGTCTCGATCAAAATCCTGTGGGGACATCTGGGGGCCCCGGACCTCTCCAAGGACAAGAAGTATGTCATCTATGCCGAGGACGGTAGAAATCTGGCAGATGGACTTTTTCACAGTAATTCATTATATATTAGTATTAGCAATATTTAGCAATCATAATCTTTGGCAAAGCCATTTCCTACTGCCATCATATTCATATCTTGAAGGACTTGAGCGAGGAGTGCAATGACATGCTCATTGAGAAGATGAACCTCAGAAATGCAGACGAGATGAAGGTGACTCGGTCACACATCTCAATTTCGTTTGGGATGATGAGATTAATGAATTTCTGCATATCCAGATTCAACCATATCCACCTGAATGTGGCTACCTTCAGACCTCAGGCAGCGCAAGAGAAGCGTAGCCAGGGTCGCAATATTGTGCCTTGGTACATTGTGGATCTTGTGGATCTTGTGGTAGTTGGCACATCTTGGCACTTGATTGTTTTGATGTGCTTCTCTTCCTAGTCCCATCCTGCGTTTCAAAGCCGCCTGGAGAATTCTGACATCCATCTGAGGGAATTCTGAAATCCAGTGCCAAAGTTGCCAAGGCAGGGTGGCAGGAATTGCTAGAAATGTGTCGCAAGCGCTGTAGAATTTGATATCCACCATTTTCCAAAACTTTTGTTCACTGATATTGACCACTCTGATTCCAGGCATTCACACAGGCTGGTGTGAAGAGAAAATTCGATCTCTGCCTTACTGCGGCCAATGCAGAGCACTCCCCTGATGGGATGCCAGTAGCAGCCTGGTGGCACTTCAAATTGACAGGTGGCCATGCTTGATTTTTGCTGGATATTGGATGGATATGGCACTTGAGAGGGGCCGAAGGGCCGAAGGGCCGAAGGGCCGAAGCATTCACCTTAAGCCAAGGTGGATCATTTGTTTACCACCATGTCCAAGTTGGCTCCAGCTTTACAAATTGGACGGAACTATGGCGACAAGGATTGGGACAGCTTTGAGTTTCTGAAAGCATGTCCTTTTTAGAGGCAAACTGCCAAGCTGGCATTTGAAGCAATAGATTCACTGAAAGTCCTGCACCACTTGTGATTTGATATCCTTTCAAGAACAATTTCCTGTGGAGATTCTCCGAAAAACGTACCATACTTTGAGTTCTGCCTACTCTGCAGGTCTCCAATGCAGATGTCAGGCATTCCTTCAACATTGTAGTGGTGCTCACAAAGGACCAAGACAATGGAGAGCTGATTTTGCACATTGAGCATTCAAGATTTTTGGGAGCAAAGAACCCCTGCTAGCTTTCACCAACAGCCAACACCTGTAGGATGCGCTCACTTGTCCTGACTTGCAAGCGGAGTTGAAATCTGCGCTGGAAGCTGAAGCGAGCATCCTCATCGTTCCCTGACTGCATTTGATTGCGCTGCTTGGCACACTGGCTTCGAAAAAGGAAGTCATTCTTGAAGTCATGTTTGAAGCTGGATGCAGTATGATGCAGTAGCTCACTAGGGCGATTGCGGCGATTGCTCCCCCGATCTTCCATGCTGTCCTTAGGTGCATCACCTTCTTAGCTGTCCCAACTTCAAAGCAGAGCTTGAGAAATGCGAGGATCGGCATGCAGCTAGTTGCTCCCATGACATAAAATAATATTGGATTATGTCAGACGCACATGTGAGAGTCTGGGCACCTCAGTTTGCTACGTAGTCCCCACTTGGTAAGTAACAGCTTCTTGTGATACTGAATTGCAGTATTGCACGACCGAGCAATGGCAGTATACCGATAGTCGATAGCCTATGTAAGCATAGTATATCATTGAAACACAAACGTCACACACAGAGACTGTTGATGGTTACGGTTGCATTCGTTTCATACCCTTTGTCGTTTTTTGCGTCCGATTCTGAAGTCACATCCTATTTGATTTTTTGGTGAGGACAAGGTAGTAGCGTCAAGCCTTGCGCGTGCTGCGCGTTTCATCTACATGACGGAGGTGTGCATAGGACATCTATATGACATTATATGACTATGATGTCAATCTTTGGACTCTTGAATTGACCTTGTGAATTATTTCATATTATTTCTAAGTCTGTTCGGAAGCACAACAGCTCTAGATTTGGCCAAATGAATCTTCGAATCTTCCACTCCTGATGTGCACGACTTTTCTCCAGCTCTTTGATTTATGATATTTATGCAGGTGGTCACAAGTGTCTTGCTGGGCATCCTTTCGCCGGGCACGGTGTCTTGGCACGTCTCTCCACGTCGCCTTCAGACAGATTTTTGCCAAAGACAAGCAGACTGATTTTGCTGCAGCTCAGCTTCCATGTGCACTTCTTTTGCTTCGAACTGACAGTTGAAGTGAGGGGAGCGCCAAAATGCGCCAAATATCTTTAGAAACTGTTTGCAGATCAAGACCGATGACACGAAGTCTCCAAGAACTAGACAGGCCTTGTCCTCTGGAGGCTCAGGGGCCTCAGGGGATGGGAAAATTGTGGAAACGTTCACGGCTCACGTGAAAGCAGATCAAGATTGTCATTCTAATCATTCTCCACACCATGCAATATGCAACAGACTTACAATATCTTACAATGTCATGTTACTCTTGCAAGAGCAAGTGCCCAAGAAGGGAGGAAAGACTTGCACAGCATGCAGTGCCCACGGGTCCCGATCATCAACACTGAACCGTCGAGCAGTTCGTGTATTGTAACGTAGTCCTTCACACATGTTTCCTTCTCCCGACTTGAAAGGTGGAAAACAATTCCGCCTGGAGTACAAGAACTTCTACTCTTTAGATTTAGCCAAAGATGGTACCGGGCAAGTCTACAACACCAAGCTTCTGGACCACAAATAAGGTCAATTGCGGCCTGCTATTAAGATTCTCAGTTTGGCACCGTCTGAGATTGCTTTGATGTTTCTTGTTTCTCAACATTAAGGTTCTCAGACAAGAAAAAGGATTTGCCGGGAGATATTGATGCAGCGATCAAAGCGCTGTTTGAGCTCTATGATCCACTGAAGAAGGGTACCTTTTTCTGCAGTGTTGACAGTTTGCTACTTGCGAAGGTCTTGGTGACATATTGTGGCCATGGATGGTCATGCTGTGTTTTTCCATTTGTTTTCATCCGCAGCTTTTGAGGCACCATTGGCTGGCCGCAATTCGCTGAAGTGGACCGCATAGTGACCGAATGCCTTGGTGGCCAGTATGAAGAGATGATCTCCCGGCGAGCGTTCTCGATGATGAACTATCCAGGACAGCTGGTGGGACGAGAACACGACCGTTGAACACTAAAACGATTTGAAGATGTTTTAGAACACACCATGCCCATCCATGCCCATCCATGCCCATCCATGCCCATCCATGCCCATCCATGCCCATCCATGCCCATCCATGCCCATCCATGCCCAATAGAATTCACGTTGTGCACAACTGGCACTTGAGGGAATCTACTTTCAAACTTCCATGCTAGTCAAGGAATCCTGGATCGTTGGAAATCCAATTCAGTCTAGGGAAGTATAAAGACGCATCAAAGCGGAAACAAGTTGATTATTTGAACTGTTGAAATGACAGCGGAACCGGTCATTCTTCACTTGGATCAGATTGTGCATCCATCTTCAGGAGTACCCAATTGATACCCGTGTCATAGTACGTATTGAATTGGCAGTGGTCTGGCTGGGTTCTCTCGTTGTGGTGTGAACAGGACTCACGCTGGAGTCAGAGATTTCGTTCACAACCTTCCACAACTATCATGCAGCTCGCCATTCTTTGGAATGCACATTAATGATCATTATTGCATGAGAACACATATTGTCCAGTCACCCGTTGTCTTGCCAAGCATTCTGAGCTTATCGTTGCAAAAAAAGTATTTCTTCATTCCGAAGGCGTTTGTCGCAAAGCAGATGGGCGCATTGGAAGGCTCGGTTGCAATGGTACAAGTCAAGACTAGTCAAGTAGCGACCAGTTGACGCACGCATCAGGTGACTTCAATCCGTTCCCTTTCTTTTGTGCTTTGGGTTTGCGAACAGGTGATCGAGATGCCAGCATGCACTACAAGTATATTGTGGACAAGGCTAGTAGTACTATGTAGTACTCAACTGTCTTAGCAAGGTCATGCTGGAAGCACTGGCGAAACACCCTGAAGTGTTGATTCGCAGGTTCAAGTCGTGTAAATCGCAGCTCTCAAAGTCTGAGCACTTGAAATCACTTGATATTTGCAGGTAAAGAGTTCGAAGAAAGGAAAGCGATTCTTGAAGCTCTTCGACCTGCTACTCAGCATGACAGTTTCAAGCAATGAGTGATGTTGAGTCACTTTATTTCGCTTGTCTCAGGGCACACACACAAATTCGAAATATTTCAAACATCAGCTAATCCGATGACATGCAAAGCTGAAGCTGCAGGTATGTGGTGCATGACGAGAGCAAAGAGTCAATCGCGTTTGCCAAGCAGTTGAAAAACTCAATGAAGGACCATACGTAACATGGCTGCACCTTGTATTGCAGTCAACTATTCCAATGGCATCATGAATGGACAGCACCAAGAAATGTCTGTCCCGAGAGAGAGAGAGAGAGAGAGAGAGGGAGAGAGAGAGAGGGAGAGAGAGGGAGAGAGAGGGAGAGAGAGAGAGAGGGGGAGGGAGAGGGAGAGGGAGAGGGAGAGAGAGGAGAGGGTGCGGGTGAGTCGAAAGATTGCATCTTGATGCATCTTGATCTCATTGTATTTCTAGGCCCAACGTGCGGACTGCTGTTTGCAACGAAAAAGTGCCGGGCAAAGAGGATATGTGCCTTGGCGTTGACATCGCAGAGTACTCAGATTAATTGGTCCGCACACATCAATAGTATGAAGCAATCTGGAGACAGGGGCTTGAAAGACTTCCGCAAATACTTGTCAGGCTGCATTCAGGTCATGCACTATCAAAATGAGACAGCCAGACAGAGATTCTATGCATCGATTAGATACATGCTGTGCACACACTGATTCTCACCAACATTAAGGTAAACGGTAAACGCAAGATTTTGACAACCATAATTCAAGCGCAGCTGGTGAGAAATTCTCAAAGAAGCAAACTGGCACAGTCTGACTAGTCTGACATGGAAGTATTTCCATTGTTCCCAAGGGCAAGAACTCAGATCGCAGCACAAAGTCTCAACGTCCTGGTGCTTCTCAACGAGGGATGTTTCCAGAAGGACTTTCTATCGCTGCAGTGAATTGCAAAACTCCAACTTCAAGCAGACCAGAATTGACATGTCCTAGCTGTGACAGAAAAAATGTCTATTCCACTTGCAAGTTGGGAAAGTTTGTGAGTGTGATCAGAATTATCGATGATAATGGAAGTGGTTTGGTCGTGGTTTTTGTTCACATTGGGTGGGCTTGACACTCGCAGTGTGGCTGAAAGAACCTCAGGATGAAGTGGCAAAGGACATTCTCGCTGGAGCAAACGAGGCAGCATTCCCAGCATCGTTGAAGACATACCAAACCTGTGAATGAGTACTAATAACATGTATAGTAACATCGGCCTATGTTGGCTTTGAGAGGGTTTGAGTAAATTCTGCATGATTCATCAGACTTTGACAACATGGTTGGGGAAATGTTGGGGATGTATATATAGAAATTCACAATTAAAAGATGCACGTCACTGACTCTGCGCAGGGCGCGCAGATCTTGGTGTTGGTCAACATGGAGAACAGCCCCATCCTTGAGAAGGTTCGGCATGGTCTGAAATGTGGCAAACATCCGGCACTGCTTTTGTGCATCCCTGAAAGTCAAGCGGATTGGCAGCGAAGCCATGCCAGGAGAAAAAAAAGGCCAGTGAGGACGTGCAGACGGCCCTCTCAAGACCTCCTGTGGTCGAGTACTGGAAGGGAAGTGACCAGGCCGGGGCTGTCCTGATGCGGTTCTTTTTGCTACATTCCTCCATGGCTAGCGGCTAGAGGCATGCTGCTGCAAGCTACTGGACCTCATGATGTTTCCCATTGATGCCAATGCCAAGAGACCGAATCCCAACAAGCTCTTTGGCAGAAGTATTACAACTCTCAAGTTGTACTCTTCCCCGTGGCAAGCATATAAAATTGTCAAAGATTCAGAGGCTCTATGTCTTAGCAGTTTGATACCGGCCCTCCAAGGAAAGCAACCTTCCGACAAAAAGAGAATCCGGTGGTGCTCTACTTGTACCAGGGCTGTGATGAGGAGATCTTCCGAGCGAGACGTGAAGCTCCTGCAAAGCTCAAGAGTTCCCTTCTGATACCCTGATCTCATGTCTCATGAGACATCATTGATTTGAACTAGCACCCCAATGCGTTAGTCAACCTTGGTCAATGTGACGGAGAAGGTCTGCAGTGACAAAGGAGCTGCTTCCGCTGTCGCAGGACGCGCAATGTGCTCAGGCACTCACGGCCTTGGCAAACTTGGTCAGTCCCATTAGTTGCTTGGTTGTGATTGGTGATTTCAACACTGGTGCTCGCAAGGATAACAACATCTTAGTTGCAAAATGTTGCAATCAGTTTGCTTCTTTTGATTCCTTTGGAAGAATGCATAATATGCATAATATGCATGATAATGCTATAGCTGGGAACAACTTCATTGAGTCAGCTCCATTCTGTGCTGATGGCATTGAGGTAAGAGTGGTGACTTGACCAGGACTGCGCAGATGCTGTGCAGTTTCGATAGTTTTCTTCATGTTTTACATTGTATCTTCTCTGATACCAAAGTTGCAAGTGATCCATTCAGCAACAGTCCTCGGCATCTTTTTTTCATAACTCCGCCATTTATCGTTTTACATTTCATTAGAAACCTCAATTGAGTGTCTTGGAATCAAGAACAAGCGATCTGAACAGGTCTGAATTCCTGCGCGACGGTGGCTGCGATGTCCTGCAGGAGCGTTTCTCCTCGCATCTCAGCTGCGAAACATCATAAAGCAACTTATGAGATCTTATGAGAATTTAATAGAATTTATGAAACATCTCTTTCCCTTTCAGCCTTGTCGTTTTGCAATGGGTTCAAAAACGAGCCTAAAATTGTTGCCCAATTTGAAGGAAGGCGTGATTCTGTTTGTTGAGGTTCCTCTCAGTCTCTGCCGTTGCAGAACCAGCCGCTCGCTGTGTAGCGAACTTGGCGATGTACCCACCTTGTGCCCGAAGGACTCTGGCGAAAAAAATGCACATGTGTTGGGCTGGGGTCAATGTTACAAACACACACACACAAACGCCTTGAAGTTTGATAGACTATATAGACTATACGTACATATCATCGAAGGAAGTTTAGAAGTCAAACTTCCGACAATATGGACAGATGAAAAACAGAGATGGGAAGAGTCAGAGAAGAGAAGAGAAGAAGAAACAATATCAAAAAAGAGAAAGTCTCAGAAGAAAGAAGATCCAGGTGCGCGAAAAGGTACAGTAGGAAAGTCGCGAAACACTGTGTTTTTCCAATGATTTGTGGCTCCGGAGGGTCGAAAAGTAGGCTCGCTAAAGCGGGTGCGGAGCCAGCAGCTGGCCAGATGAGAGATGAAAAATTGCAGGCCGTTGTGGCGCGAAGCACATTTCGAAGTCAATATGTACAAAACACCTCAGCGTCGGACCACTTTTCGAAGTTGCGATGTCGAAAAAGCGCACGCCGTTGTGGCGCGAAGCACATTTCGAAGTCAAAATGTTAAAAACACTAGGGGTTCGGACCGCTTTTGGACGTTGAAGCGTCGTTTTGCGTGGCAGGCGCAAGGGATTGTGCACCTTGTCAAAACAGCAAAACGTGAGGGTTTTGCAGCATTTCCAAAAACGATGGCAGGCGTGGGACATTTGAAGAGGATCTGCAAAGATGCATTTTCCGTGGCAGGCGCAGTGCAAGAGACATGTTCATCAGAGATGTTAGCAGGTCCGGGCGCTGATTTCTTGAGAGGGGTTGCATTTTGGAGCATCAGATCTTCAGGTTTGCTGAGATGATTTTGCGTGACAGGTGCAGCACTTCCCATGACTTGGCATCCCTTTTTCGTGGCAGGCGCAGTACTTTAGACAGGTGGAGTGGAAAAATTGCAAAACGCATTGGCACGAGGCCGTCAGCTCTGCACTCAACTTTCCATTTTGAAGGAAGTCTCGCAGAATTGTTTCGATTTTGATGTTGTCAATTTCGAAAAATGAGGAAGTCTCGCAGACTTGTTTCGTTCTTGATGTTGTCAAGTTCAAAAATTGAGGAAGTCTCGCAGAATTGTTTCATTTTTGGTGTTGTCAAGTTCAAAAATTGAGGAAGTCTCGCAGAATTGCTTCGTTTTCAAGCTTGCAGATAGACAGATAGATAGGCAACTACAAATGCAACTACAACTACAAGTACCACTACACTACACTACAACTACACCTACGAGTACAGATATACTACGCTACATTACACAACACTAATTTACACTACACTACACTACACTACGCTACGCTACGCTACACTACACTAATTACATCTAATTACATCTAATTACATCTAGTTACATCTAATTACATTACAACTACTACTACAGCTACTACTACTACTACCACTACTACTACTACTGCTACTACTACTACTACTACTACTACTACTACTACTACTACTACGGAGACAACGACGACTACTACAACTACTACGACGACTACGAGTACTACGAGTACTACGAGGACTACGACTACTATACGACTACTATACGACTACTATACGACTACTATACGACTACTATACGACTACTATACGACTACTCTACGACTACTCTACGACTACTCTACGACTACTCTACGACTACTACGACTACTACGACTACTACGACTACTGCGACTATCACGACTACTACGACTATTTGACTACCTACGACTACTATGACTACTACGACTACTAAAATTCCTACTAAAATGTCTACTACGATTCCTACTACGATTCCTACTACGACTACTACGACTAGTAAGAGTAGTAAGACTAGTAAGACTAGTAAGACTAGTAAGACTAGTAAGATTAGTAAGACTAGTAAGACTAGTAAGACTACGACGACCACCACCACCACCACCACCACCACCACCACCGCTACAAATACAATTACACTACATTACACTACAATACACTAATTGAACTGCAGCACATTACAGCTACAAATGCAAATACAACTACAACTAGACTACATTACACAACACTACACTACACTAATTACATTACATTACGCTACAACCGCAACTACCACTACATTGCACGACACGACACTACACTACAACTACAACTACAACTACGCTACTTTACACTACAATACACTAGACTACACTACACTATACCACGCTACAGTACACAACGCTACAGTACACTACAATACACTACACTAATTGCACCACACCACAGCTACAACTGCAACTGCAACTGCGCTACACTAATTACACTACATTACAACTACAACTTACAACTTACAACTACAACTTACAACTACGACTTACAACTAAAACTCCACTACGCTACAACTACAACTACATCTACAACTACAACTGCGCTACACCACACTACATCCAGCAGGGTGACCACTGCAACCATTGCAACCACTCCAGAAAACACAATTCCAACCACCTTTCAGGCCATCAGTGGATTCGCTCTGCCATCCGTGAGTCACAACAACCAACCCTTCCTATAGGTTTCCTGTTTTTGAAACTTCCGCCACCGCCTTGTGCGGTACTACTGGCATCTAATCTCGATACCAACCCTTTGTTCCATATTGTTCCACTCAGTCTTTGGATATTCACCTTCATCATGATACCATGGGATTTAGGCCCACGCCTAAATCACTGAAAAAACGCACAATTGCATGCAATTGCCAGAGAATTGCTTGAACATGGACTGAGAAACATTGCTAAGTCCAATGGAACCAGTCCTCTTGGAAACCTCCCTGAGCAAAACGAGAAGCAAGTGAATACTCATGCAGTGGCACAAATATGAAGAGAGCAGAGATCACAAACTAGACACTGAGGGTGCACAAGTGCAAGCTTGTGCCACACAAATCCACACAATACAAAGGGAAAAAATCCAGCGAAGACTCCTAGCCAGACTTGTGCTCTTCGAAAACTCTTTGAAAACTCTTTGGTTTCTGAAACCTTGAGTTTCGGACAGGCTTTCTTGAGCACTCGATGCGCAGCGTAAGACAAAACCATGCTGTATATATATATATATCTATACAGTATATTTATACACACATCATTATATAATGCTGTATATACGTATATATATATATACACATACACATACAATAATATTAATATAAAATCTAACCTGGCAGAAACAGACTGCAGTTTGCCAGTCAGTTTTGCTACCAGGATGGCCGAGTGTGGGACGGTGAAGACCTTGGTGGAAGCCATGACATCGCATGTTGATTCGCCCCTTTTGCAGGCTGGAATGCAGAAACTGACAGCGATTTGAGTGGTCAAAGTGACAGAACATGGGTTTCTATGGGTTTCCATGGGTTTCTAACATATTCCTGACATAGGGTTGGGTTCAACTAGTGGTTTGCAGACCTGTACAAACATGTACATTCACAGTTTAGATTGTTTTACAATGTACTAAACACTATATATAAGTTTTTCCAAGGCATCACGGTTTGGCCTGCAGCTTTGGCCGTGAATTGCAAGCGCAGACGACTTGACTTGCAGGGCGACGCTTGCTGTGCGATTGTGAACATCTCTCAAGATGAAGTTGGCAAGAAGAAGGTCAACGAGCTAGGCAGGATAGTAAAAAATCGTTCATTACTCCGAAATTATTCCTGGTACAAGTTGTAGTTCATGATTCTTTGAAATTCTTTGTCGGGTATCTCAAGAGTTTCAAGCAATCAGCTCCCAATCGCAATACACATGCAACGGGATTTCATGACACCCAGATTGCTGCAGACCTGCAGGTGGCTTTCAGCAGATGCTCCAGTCGCAAAAGCGATTCGAGTTCAATCCAGAGTTCTGGGATATGCGCTGGGGCATGAAGGAACTCAAAGAGGGTGACACAGTCATGGCAGCTTGTCAGCTTGTCAGCTTGTCTTTCTCTCCATAGCATCTTTCAGACATTTTTTGCTCCATTTTTCAGAAACACTTACCTTAATATAGGTAGCTCACAATAATTCATAACATTTTTCTTCCACACTCGTCGTGACCTGCTTCCTCCTTCCAAGGTCAACTATCGCGGAGGGGGCCGCTGGGTGACTGGAAGTATCACCCGAGTCAACAGGGGCAATGGAGCATATGACGTATCCTACATGCACGGAGGCAACGATCGGAAGGTGCCCAACAATTTGGTGAGGCCGAAAGACAAGTCAGACACACAGCAGCTATAGAGCGCAAGACAGTTTAGTTTTTTTTCTGTTTTGTGATTGAGAAGCTACCATTGTTTCTTGGGACCTGGGAACAAGCGTGACTTTGATTATTTACCCATTTTGAAGCTTCCCAGGATATGATTGATGAATTTGTTGCAGTGTGGCAGTGGAAGCCACAGGGAAAATTGACAGAAGATGAGCTGACCCTGAAATCCGATGGTATGTTGACGTTGAAGAGCGAAGGCTTGGCGGCCGCAGGCACTTGGAACGTTACGGAGCCCAAGGGTGGAGGCCGCAACATTGTGAAGATCAATTTATCTGGATCGACCTCTTCCATTGAGATGGAGAGAATTTCTCTGACCACCCTGCGAGCACTCAATGGACCACAACGAGCGGTCCTGAAGGATTCCCTGGACGATTGCCTGTATGTTGAGTACTTTGAGTATCCTGAAGGCCTTGCAGGCTTCAAGAAGCCTCCGCCACTGCTTGGACGCAAGCCAGACCTAAGCCGATCAGAGCAGCAGATTGACTGGGTGAAGTCAGAAATGCAACTTGTTTGCAATGCCCCGGATCTTTCACCGCCTCTCTCCGTCGGCATACCACGTCTTTGAGACACGATCCTTTGTGGGGAATGGGGAAGATATATGGGGGTATGAAGAGGTTGTACATCTATGTACATTTTGGCATCTTGCTGAATGCAATTGCTTTCAGAGTGTTGATCTCTGAAGGGGAGCTGTACACTGCTCTTAAAGCATGTCCAATCCACTTGAAGCGTTGTTGTACTATGTAGGATTCCAATGATTCCAACGGAACTTTCGAGGCCATGGACAGGTTTGCCTTCCAACTTCGGCACCAACTTTGCTGCGAGGCTGGGGTAAGATTCTTCCACCAGCATGGTGAAAGAAGAGCATCAGTATAAGCAAGACTACGATACAGTAGATGACAATGCCAAGACAGGATGGCAAGCAGAGTTTTTCTTTGTCGTGTACTGCTTCTGACCGCTGATAGGATGTTATTTGGAGATGTTTGGAGTGTTTCAATCTTTAGATATGGATCGCTTGGACTTTTGAGGTGGAAGGGCATTGTCGAGATCACAAAGATGGGCGACTACAAAATCAAGATGGAAGCAGCCACCAGTGCAATTCTGAGGCTGGACATTTGCCATACCAAACATCGCTTCAAACCTGTCGCTAGGACCCAAGAGCCAAGGCACCCTAAGAACCAAGCACTGCTGCTGCAAAGATCTGCAAAATAAATTTATATACAGGTTTTCTTTGCCTCTCTGACCGCGAGGTTGAACGACAAGATTGTTGTGGATCTTTCTCCTGAAGGGTCCAAAGAATGGGAAGGAAAGCTTCTGGGAGGCCTGGCGATGCTTGGTCAATGTCATTCGCTCACGAGAATCCGTTGCTGGTGAGGGTTCGTGAGGGTTTGTGCAAGCTGAGGCCCCAACCGCATCACCGTGGACTTCTTTGCGAACGAGCCTTCTAAGTTCATTCAGCTCTCCTACCTGGGCCCAGACACAGGCGGCGAAGAGTGGATGGTGATGCCAGTTGCAGTGTTGCAACACGAGCCTCGGACTTCAAGGCTTGAAGGAAATATCTGCTTGACTCCAGCTAAAAGAAGACCTTCAAGAAAAACCTTGCAGGAACAGAATTCAGCTTGGGAGGAGGATAGACTCGGATAGACCAACAAATCCAACAAGCTTTTGGTTGCGAAATGAGCATGGCATAGCATGGCAGAGCGGCAGAGCAACACTCTTGCTAAGGATTTGGCATCGTGCCAGGCACAGATCAGTTGGATGATCGGGGATCATATCACATTGATTCATAAAATTTCATAACTATGTCACTATGTCATTGATGCTTTTTGAATGCTTATGATATCTTCTGATATATTATAATATATTATAATTTATTGTATAACAATACCAACGTTGGTCATGATGTTTGATTTGGCTCTGTTGAATCGCTGCAAAAGCTGCCTCGGGGTCCAGGTGGTGCCGAAACCTGGCTTCATTGCCGAGTACTTCCCCATGGAGCGGCCGCCGTAAAGCTGATGTGCAAACGAAATGCGAGACGCGAGTGCAGAGTATTTTTTGTTTTAATTATTTTTAATTTGTTTTATTTCCTTTGCATTTTTCATAAGCTGACAGCCCGGAGGACTACGAGGATAGCATCATTCCAGAGGGAGTGGATCCAGACATTGTCCGTACTGAGAAACAGCTCGACTTTGAAGAGGCTTGCGGGATGAGATACAGAATTGGCGCAGAGCTAGATACATCTAGATACTTGTATGTGAGAAAGTTGCTATAAGTTGCTTCATGCGGCCACTGCATCCGAATTCAGCTGAACATGATTTCGCATGGCCCTGGCAGACCGAACAGCCGTGGCAAGGGCTGCCAGCCCGTTATGGGGGAGCTTTTGCAGCAAGATTCACGACGTGCGCTGTGTAAAACAATGACTTTCGTACGTCATCCGGATTTGGGATTCACTTTTGTAACAGCCAGCTGTGCAAAGAGCGACTGGGTGGCAGGTACGTCAATGTGACTTGCGGAGATCAGAAGAAAGCGAAGTACCAATTCATGATGGAATCAGGTCGTTTGGATTCAAATTCGGATGGTCATACACAGTCTCTGTCAGGTTCAAAGAGAATGATTCTAACGATTCAATTCGCGGATTGAGGTTGGTGTTTGAGCTTCCAATTGGCATGACCATCTCTGACACTGGCCTTCTCAACTAAGGTGCAAGGGGTATCCTTTACATCGATGACAAGCAGCTGTCTGTGGAGGACAAGCCTGTTGACATCGAGCTGAAGAAAGGCCTGACATTCATTGCACCGTATGCTGCGAGATAGTGAGCTTTCAGAGCTTTCAGTTTCAGTTCATTTTCCCGATCGGTATGATGATTGTGATTGTGATGTGATTGTGATGTGAGGTCAGCATCTCATTCGTGTGGACTACTTCTGCCACGGTGAGGACAAGCACGGTCACGGACTGAGCAAGCGTAGTTGTGTAGCTGGAAAAAGGTAAGGATATACTGTGTATGTATATATATAATTATATATAATATATATATATTATAATTTTATTCAACAATTTTTCAGACTTGCCTTGCTGTTTCGTATCTCTTTCATGCACATGCACCCTATCTGCGGGATCTGCGGGATTTTTCCATTCACCTTCTTGTGCTATTCAGAACATCTGTCAAGTCAAAGAGGATAAAGAGGATCTTGGTACTACATAAATTACATAATGATTCTCGAAATACACAAGCACCTACTTTGAATCAGAACCGTTCGAATACAGACAAAGAAAACGTCGGCTTCTACACATGAAATCAATTCACATCAGCCCTTTAGATCCCTTTGGTCTCTTTGATCTTTTGTAAGACTTTGTAAGACTTGAGACCAAATGGATCTCCTGAGGGTCAAATTTGGGGCTCTTCTTATCAGATTGAAATGAGGTCTGAAGCTCTTCTACCGTGGACCTGAAACGATGCCCAAAATTGATGACGGAGAAGAGGTACCCGAGGTGCACTTCGAGTGAAGGGTCACTGATGCTATTTCGCGCTAGTTTCTACAGAATGTAGTCGCATTGATCCGTGTTGTAGCACGGAGAGGGATGCAAGCAACTGTGAAAAACTGACAGGAGATGAGCAGGTGTTGTTTGCATCGACAAATTTCCGACTCTGTCTGAAAAGAAACATATAGTTTGTTTATTTAAGGCAATGTGAGTTTCTGTGCTTTTGCTTCATGATTGTGACATTGCCAGGGTGCTGGCAAGATTCTGGTGCCACCCACTGCAACGTGTGACTTGGAAGCAATCAAAGTTTGTAGCTCTGCGATCGTGCATTTTTCTATATCGATTTCTTTATATACTGCGCAACTCCTCAAAATGGTTCCACGAGAGACCTCAAGAGCACAATGGCTGGGTAAGAAACCAGCAAGCAGACGGGGCTCCAGTTCTTGGTTTTCATGGCTGCCTTCATTGCCCGTGAAGGCTACTATGCTTTGCCTTCCTGTGCAACGTGCTGAGTGTTTGCAGGGGAAGAATTTCAGTTGAATGCTTGCTTGGCAGCCTATGCTCAAATCTTCTTCAAACAACTTTAAACAATTTTACAATGCTCTCAAAACAGATCAAACCAGATCAAAACATGCACATTTTGACAGTTTGACCATCTTCGGCTGAATGGGTTTCGAATACCCATCATGTTTTTCCAAGGCACAGCCAAAAGGAGAGCCGCTGTTGAAGCATGACAAGGTTCAAGATTAGTATGATGAGTACAAGATATGAGCATTTTAACAGCATTGATATGAGCATTATGAGCATTGCATTGTTGATTTACTGGTATTTACTCCGTTTGCTGCCGTGAGCATTTTGGTTTATGTTCCTAGATGTTCCTAGATGTTCCTAGATGTTCCTAGCACATTGGCACCAGGCAGTTCACACAGTCCTGTGGTCCCAAGACGATTCCCGAATTGCATCTGTCGGCGGTGCTGGCAAGGCTGGGGCTTGAAACTTGAAACATCTTGACACATCTTGAAACATCTTGAAACTTAGGGAATTTTGGGAATTTTAAGGAATTTTAGGGAATTAGGGAATTTAAGGAATTTTAGGGAATTTTCGGGAATTTTCGGGAATTTTCGGGAATTTTCGGGAATTTTCGGGAATTTCGGGAATTTTCGGGAATTTCGGGAATTTTAGGGATTTTTGTGGGAATTTTAAAGCATTTTAGGGAATTTTAGGGAATTTTAGAGTTCTTTTACAGTAGAGTTCTTTTTGAGTTCTTTTGGAGTTCTTTTTGAATTGTTTTTTGAGTTCTTTTACAGAGTTCTTTTTGAGTTCTTTTGAATTCTTTTTGAGTTCTTTTTGAGTTCTTTTTGAGTTCTTTTTGAGTTCTTTGCTTTTCTCCTTGCAGCATCGAGGTGTCCAGACAGATGATCTTATGTCAATTGTGAGCACCTGTGATTGACCAAAGCTGATTGCTTGCAGATCCACTTCTGGGATCCACCAACAGGAGATTTCTGTGCACAATCGCAAAAACGCAAAGCCTTGTCAGCTCATCAACAGTTCTATTCTTTGAAGCACTGATTGCAGGATGCGAACAAACTTTCTGTATACTTTATATTATTTAAAACTATTAAAATATTATGTACATGCACTATATTTTTGCAATTGTCATTGCAGGACGTTACTTACACACTCACGATGTTGGTGGCCGGATCACAACTGCGGCTGGATCCAAGGACAAGATTGTGCCTTGGATCATGCAAAGGTTCATCAGATTACACAAGATATCAGATCCACGCATTATACTCTACGGACTAGTATTACATGACATTACAATATATTACATACATTTACACTTATTTACATACTATATAAGTATTATGATGTATTATGTAAGTATTATGTGTTTACGTAAAAGTTGATGCTGGAAAGCCTGAGTTCTCTACGTATGTTTGCCTCTCTAAGGCCTTGGCCATGAATGATGAAGACCGAGCTTCTTGGTCTCGGATGTGATCCTTGCTTCCCAACGCTTTCCACAGAGAGGAATATCTTGGTAAGTCAAGAGATATTGAACGAACACTTGCGAATGTGTTCGCAACATATCTTTCCCTGTGTCTTTCGCAACGCCTACTCGTTTGACAGGCTTGTCACAATATGCGAGCACACAAAAGCACATGTCTTTGGTGCAGTGCATACCCCCTACTGCTACTAGATGCAGATTCAATGTCCGAGTCGTGATCTAAGGCAATCAAAATCATTGACTTTGCGACGAAGAAGGAGATCAGAGTCCTGAAGCACGTGCCACAAGACAATGGCGAGGAGGTGCACAGGGATGAAACATGAAACATTGCGCAGAGTGACCAGATTACAAGCTGAGCCTCGGCTAAGCAAGAATTGAGAGTCTGCCGCTTGCACAGGAGGCCGTACCAGAAGGTGAGGAGGGAGAAGAGCCACCAGTTCCGGTGAAGAAGCTTGGACCACACGAAGGCAGAGGATTTGGCTTCCATTCCGCGCAGTATAAATCTTAACAGATATTATGATATATTATGTAGCGTTATGTAGTAATACGCATATCAATAAAAAACAGACTCCCGCGAAGCAAATAAACAGAGAGGTGCACTGATATAGCTTTGCCCGTGAAAAATACGTAATGTACACTTCTACGCTCCTGGACAGGCCCGGTGAAGATCATTGCATTCAGTAGAGATGGAAAGTACATTGCTACCGGAAGCGAGGCAGCGCCCATGACATCCTGGCCTTTTTGGACATGACATGATATGACATAGTGTTTGAAGATGTTTGAAGACTTGGCCACTTCTAATTTTGCAGAGGACGGTGTGCTCAAGCTGTGGGATATGGTCACTGGCGAAGAACTGATGACCAAAGCCATTACACAGACGACCAAGGACTCTGCCGTTAGAATCGTTAGAAGGCTTCAACTTTTGCTGAGACGAACTACTTGGTACTAGTTGCCATGGGCGCTGAAGGGCGCCTGGGTGTTTTGTTGCCTTTTTGATGCTTTTTTGTGTTTTTCTGTTTTTGTTTGATGATGGGCCGTGGGGTGGGGTGGGGTGGGATGGGATGTTAACGTTCATGTTCATGTTACGCTGATGATGTTACGTTGATCATGGGGTGGGGTGGGGTGGGGCGGGATGTTAACGTTCATGTTCATGTTACGCTGATGATGTTCCGTTGGTGGCGTGGGGTGGGGTGGGATTTAACGTTCATGTTCATGTTACGCTGAAATTGGTTGAAGTAGTTTTTGAGACGTGAAAAAACAGGCGTGCAAGGCTGCATGCGCAGTTACATTGGGAAGTGCACGCGAACCCCCTTAAAACTACCAGGCAGGCGCCTCTCAGCGCTGTTCCCTACTAGTTCCCTGCTGTTCGCAGAAGTTTGCCAATACCCGATAGTTCTGTGATGTTCTATGCATCCAGATAGATGCGGGTACGTAGTCCATTAAATTTGCTTTCCAACTGTTCGCGGGACTGCCCTCGGGGACTTTTGTCCCGCTGGTATATCTGAAATGATCTGAGCACTCAAAGATCCATTGAGCTGAGAGGACCATGGTGAAACTCGTGTACCAATCCATGCTGCTGGATTCAATGGCGATGGGACCAGGCAGGAAAGAAAGTAGGGCGCCTGTAACAGTGACGCATGCTTTGGCCAACTGGGCCAACTGATTTGGGTCTGGAACATTCTGGAACACTGTCCAAATTCCTTGAAAATCTTGAAGCAGGCTGTTGATTGGCAGCAATGAGAAGCACATGCGCAATTTGTTCGCAAGCTCGCGTTGTTCAGCGTCGTTTTGCCAATCGTTGCCTTGTTGCATTTTATTGTCTTGGCGTCAGGATGAACTTTGCAACTGAGGCATTTACAATACTGTGGAGAAGGATGATCTGCGCGGCCCGGACAAGTTGCTCCCAAAGCCTGAACCACCTGAGGAGGGATGGACTGACGAAAACCCAGAGCCTGCGGATGAGTATGAGAAGGCAAGGCTGTTTGGTTCAACTTGACGTTAAAGGACCAATTTCAGGATTTCCAAAAGACCGAAGAAAATGGTCGAACACGTAAATAAACATTAATAAAGATAAATGCTCGTACCATGAAATGATAAATGAATATATGAATAAATAAATAACAAATAAACAAAAATCAATAAATAACTAAATAAATATTTTGCATATATATGGTAATCGATCTAAAGGTCCATGTAAGGAGTTTTAATTGCGAAAACCGTGCATGTTATGCTGGAAACCCTCGCGAAAGTTTTTTTCGAGTTCGCGAAAGAAAAAACATCTTTCGCGAAAGTTGGATATTATGAATCATTATCATTACAGCTTGTTAAGGGCTACCACCTCCTGCCGCCCGGGGTCCGGCAGGAGAATGGCACCGCTCCATAGGTACTCGTAGCAGCCAAGCTTCCGAAGGTGAGCCAAATACCATGGTCTTGAAGCACCTCCTTGCCTAGCGTTGCTCTTTGAAGTCTCAAGAAACACGCTCCAAATGCAGCAGCCAAGCTTCCAAAAGTTAGGGTTTGCGAGAGCCAAACACCAAGGGCCCTGGTGTTTGCTTTTCCTCTGGTGCGCCCCCTGCTGATGGCTGGGGCCTGCGGATAGGGGTATTTTCGCGAAAATTCCGCGAAAGTTGAAAGAGTGGGCACAAGTCAAGTGCATTTTGAAGGGAGTTGCCCAGTAAGCCTTGCAAAAACTTGCCTAATCAGCAACCATTTGTCCTGGGAAGGGGATGCCGTGATGCTAGCTGCATGTTTACAAGGCCGTGAAGAAGTTATCCGTGATGATTTTGTGTGATTTGGCAGGTGATGAATTTTCATAAGAGGAGCTGTTGCTCAACATGCGTTCCGCGAAAAATCAACATGGAGCTTGCGAAAGATTCGCGAAAGAAAAAATATTCGTGAAGAATGGCCGTTTCCGGATAAAGGATTTTTGATCAACAACCATATTTGTGTGTATAATATATATATATATATATTATATATACATTATATATATATTATATATATATATACATTATATATATATATATATTATATATATATATATATATATATATGAAATGCAATGACATACCCCAGCCCCAGTGACTTTGATTTTTGTCAAAAAGTATCCCTTGGTTGTCACCCCACATTCTGATCCGCCTCCATTCGACAGGGTGATGTGATCCTGCTAGCTGGCCACAAAGCTCCAGTGGTTCCTGGGCAGAGTTGAAGGATCACCTGGCCACAAAGAGCATGAAATCACCATACATTGCCATACTCCTGGTACATTACCGTATGTAAATGTATGTAACACATGATCATACATGATAAATGATCATACATTACATTGACATGACATTTCGCTGGCGTGGCCGACTTGAAACGATAAAACGCAAAACAGTGACAACATCATAGTTTGAGTCCTGTGCTTATGCTGATCTTCATATTGTTCTTCCCTCTTGAAACGATTTTTGCAAATGCAGACGGTCGCATTGTGGAGACGAGGTTTGCTTGTCCTTCTCACCAAAGGATGAAAATCGTTGCAAAGCTGCATTTTGGATCATTTGGGGACATTGAAAGATGCGTTAAGATATGTAAAGATGCTTTATACAGTATAGGCCTTCTTCAGTTGGCCCAAGAGTTTTGGTCTTTTTTGGGTGTATAATATTGTGTATACCCAGGTATACCGTATATACCTCTCTTCGTAGCTCCGTTTAGATTTTTCGCAGCCTTGAGGCGTTGCAACTTGCAGTACGGTCGCGACCTTGGCGCTGCTTTGATCCGGTCGCCAATTTATTTGGTGTCACTTATGTCATTTCTGTCTTTGTAATTCTTTGCATGTCATCAGATGTTTGGGAAGTCTTGCATTGATGATTTTAGCCCGTTTGGCATATATTGACAACCAAATTTGCTGTTTGGTTCTTTCGTTGCAGTAAGGCCAGTGTGGAAGACAAACTGCACTTTGTTGACTGACAGAGCAAGAGTACAGAAATTCTGAGCGAGTGCAAGCTCAGTGCACGTTCTGAGGACGCGACGATCAGAATTTGGAATCTGGAATCTGGCCACTTGGACTCCTGGATTATGATGTATTCAGAGAACCTTATGAGAACTTAAAAGGCTACAGATGTCAAAGATTGTCAAAGCATCTGATACTGAGGCGAGTTCCATGCTGACCTGGTGCAGGTGGATGCTGTGGTGCACCAGTCCGTGTTTGCAGAAGAATTCACCTAGTATGGTCCTATGAGTCCTGATGAGGGGATGAAAAATGCCAAGGTGTTGCAGCCAGATTTCCAGCCGCAGTGTTACATGTAAGTTATATGTAAGTTACATGACGCAGCCATAGAATATCATTGCGAATCCATATACGAATCCATGGCTTTGGAGGTCATCGATCCCATCCAATGCTTGTCCGGCTTTGTGGCCTGGTCACCTGATGCAACCTCATTGGTGTCACTCGGCGGATGTCAATCTCTAGGGCTGACCACTAAGTGTACTAAGTAAGGACATCAGATGCCTCTTTCAAAACATGTATAGTATTCATAGTATTCACTTGTGCTACATTCTAGGAGTTTCCTTCAACTTCATATATAATTTCAAAGGTTGAGCCGTGCATTTTTACTGCCAGGGGACTTTCTCGCCAATAATATATAGCTGGCCAGGGAACACCACTTTTCTGCAACCTGCAAGATCCTGCAAGATCCTGCTGCACTGAGGTCTTCATCCGAAGATATCTACGTTGGTCTCTTCTCAGCTGTCAGTGGACAGCGCCGCGCAGAGCCGCTGCAGGTCGGTGGAGCCTTGAGTTTGTCACAACTGGATGATACAGGATGCTACAGGATGATACAGGATGATACAATATCTAAACGGCTTCAGATACAGCTTCAAAATTCAACACAACGTCGAAACAATTCTAAGTGATCTAAACTTGCCTCTCTTGTCAGAGTCTATCTAGTCCGCTCGTCCGCTCCATGCACCATGCTCAGCGTGAGCTGGCAGGGACATCAAGCCAGTGTGCGCTTTGCGGCTTGGGCCCCATTTTCGCACCTTGGTGACAGCAGCCAACAAACAGTAACGGACCACTACCGAAAACCTGCAGTAAGGATTATATACGGACATGTTGTTCTGGGCAAACTTTGGGTGTGAGCAGCAGAGAACAGTTAGTTTTCCTCGTTGTTATAGACACCGAACTTATCAATGCATCACACTCACTCGAATCATGTCGAATCAACTAACATCCTGCCTTCATCAGCTCTTCCAGTTGCAATCTTCGGATCTCACTGGAAACTCCTGTGATCTCCGCATTGCAGGGAACATCAGGGAACAGTTCTGTGATAATTTCAAAACCTTTCTAGGCGTCGTGAATGAGATGCTTGGCCCCAGTGATAAGCAAAATCTCTGTGTGAGGCAAGCGTTCGTGACCTGCTCTGATGATCATGGAGTCCGTCTTTGGCACTTCTTGGTGAACAGGTGACTGCTGCCATGATGCCACATCTGTTGCTTTTGGGTGACCACTTCATCAGAGGTAAACTGGCAAAGCACCAAGCACCAAAGAGCTTAAGATACGTGTCGGGATGTGTGAAGCAGATTCATAAACGATCTTGGGGCTTCGCAGTGGCTGAAGCTGCATTTGGTAGAAACTTCCTGTGCCGGTGCGAAATGACAGGAATATCACAGAGATTGCCGTTCTGGAGGGAGAGCAGATGGAATTCAATGACGACTCGCGAAAGTCCCTTGCTAGCGAAACCTCTTTTTTTTTTGACAAACAACACTGAAAGGCTTTGGCCTTTTTTAGCCATGGAGTTTAAAGCGCATTGGCATTCATACCATCAAAGGTGGTGGGAGAGCTTGCAGAGGATCCGGAATGACTTCAAGGAGCTTAACCGTGGATATTTCGGGTTCTGTTTCTAAATGACCCGGCCACGCTCACACAGGACTACAAGAAGGGCCTGTCGCACTACGAGACAGAAGTGTACAAGCTCAAGGCAGACCTGGACGAGGTGCACAGTCTTTGGCAAGGAAGATTTAGAATGTGACAAGAATGTGGAGTATTCTATTCTCAAGGAAAAAGATGGAACAAGTATCCACCAGCACACCGGCGCAGTTTATGGAATCACAGCACAATGTAGATAGAGTCTCACCAGCACAGACCCAAAGATGCAACCACATAATTTGCAGAAAGGTTGAGCCTGGGTTAGCCTGGATAGATTTAAGACATTTTAAGACATTTTAAGACATTTTAAGACATTTTAAGACATTTTAAGACATTTTAAGACATTTTAGGACATTTTAGGACTTGAACTTTGAGACATTTTGAGACAAAATGGTTTAAGCATGTTTAAGCTTTGTGGCAGATGCTGGGGGCTTCTCCAAACATCACCCTCTCCAGGCAGTGAAGCGAACCAAGTCCTACGTTGAGCGCGAGCAGCTCTTGGGGCTGGAAGTTACGGATTCTTGTCTCAGTGCACAACATGGCACGACATGGCACGACATGGCCATGGCATGCCATCGCATCACTTCAATTGGTTTTCAACACAGCTGACTTGGACAGAAGCTACAACAGCACGAAGTGATGCGAATTGATTGTAGAAAGTCAGAGACCGAACAATTCAACAGCTGAAATCCAAGGACTACTACGAGCTGGATGGCATGATTGATGACTTCAACCCATACTACTTGCTGTGGCAGCTTGCTCAAAAATATTGATTTGCCATGTGCATGTCTAACGTATTCTTAAATGTCCAATCATGGAAGCATGCCTTTCCGTTTGCCAGTGGTCAAAGTTTCACCTCTTGGAGTCCTTTCCAGACCTCTGCAAGGAGCACTGTCATTGAGTTCCAGCGCTCTGAGAAGAAGTGGACCAACGAGCCGATCGCGACGCACAATTCCACGGTGATTGAAAACACCATCGATGCGTGGTACAAGCGACTTGCCTCAACATACTTTAACAATCTTCGACAACATACTTCAACGATGTCTCCGTAGATTCACCAACTCTCCCAGGTTGGTTTACAAGATGATCAAGGACTTTGACAACGACAACATGAGGCCAAGATAGTGAAGATTCCGCAGCCACACACACAGAAATCGAAAGGGCAATGTTGTACAGTATGTATATATATATATAAAATATATAATATAATGTGTATACGGTATACGTATACACATATATATATATAGTACTATATATATATATTATATAGATATATTAATAGATAATATACGTTTTATGACATTGTTCTATTTTGTGAGCTTGTTGTTTCTTGCTCAACAGCTACGTAGAATTTCTTGCAAGGCCGGCTCAGAAGATTGCAAAGGAGCTACGCCAAGGAATTGAGGTCTTCAAAGGTCTCTTCCCGTTCCTAAAGTGCTTTGCCAACGCTCCTTGACTCCACTTGACTCCACTTGACTCCGCTTGATTCCAGCGATTTCATCCATGTCCCTAGAAATCCCTAGAATATGATGAATCATGTTGTCTTCCAGATAAAAGATGACAAGACATGCTAAACACATTCTTACACATTCTTACCAGGTTTGGTTTTTAGTTGGTGGCATCAGGTTTTTTCAAAGCACCACAGCCGGTGCCAAGGAGTCAGTCCTCGACCGACATTGGAAAGAGATGTTCGATCGAATGGGTGATTCTGCTCCAAAGCCCGCGCTGTACGGCAATGACTACAAGAAAGTCACCCTGCAGATGATGTTGGACCATAATATCAATGAATTCACCCAGGATTTCGAGGAGTTGTCAACTGCAGCGGCCAAGCAACATGGCTTGAAGAAAGCCATGGGCAACATGAAGGCGGGGTGGTGAACTGGTGAGGAAAACATGTTGCGAATCCGGACATGCCCGTCATACAAATTTTACAACTAGAAAACAGGGCCCAAGTTCCATAACAATCATCAACATGATTCTGTACCCCACATTGCAACGCACAATGATATTTACAAGACATCGTCATAACACATCGTAAGAATATCATACGTACTTTCTTTGATAAGTTCCAGGCTCAGTTGGTCTGAGGATGTCTGAGGGTCCATTCAGCCAGGGCTGAAATCATTCCATCGCATTCGTTGCCCCACCAGCGCTGCTGCGTTTTGGCAGGTTGACTGGGAACCCCTGGAGTTCCTGACGGCGGAGCGCAACGGCGTGCCGTTGCTGCGAGGCATTGATGAGATCCAGACAGTCCTGGATGATCACATCTCCAAGACTCAGGCGATCCGATCCAGCCACGACCTTAGCCTGGAGCGGTTTGAAGATATTTGCAGCCGGAAAAATCATCAAGATGCTGGCATATGCTGGCAGATCCAGCTAGTAGTATATACTTTCAATTAACACCACGCTCTACAAATACATACAACTAATATCAACTAATGCTGTATTCAATATATACAGTAGGTTCGTTTCCTCAAAGTGTCCCGGAAGTTGGACCTTTGAATGCTTTAAGCCTTGGTCTTTTGCCATGCTTGCGAGGTCCCTTTTGCAAACCCTTTGAGGAGGAGGTGCATGCATGTGAGGCTACGCTGATGTACATCCAAGACTTCATTGACCAGGTGATCGCCTTGCAAAGGCACATCATTGCGAGATAGACAGATTCGACATGGTGATGCAACAACTGTAACAGCATCAGATTGATTCATAGCCTCTGCAGTGTTGAGGGAAGACAGTTTTCAGAGATGCTGGGGAGCACTGAGTGTGAACTCTTGTCTTCAATGGCTCCTCTGAAAATGGGGAAGTGCATTGAAGTACCCAAACATCTTATATATCTTATTTAGGTCTTAGCTCCCAAGAGTGAGGTCAGATTGATATGGGTTCAGTGCTTGCATAGGGGAGAACTTACAATTGCTAATTGGCAGATACTTCAGGTGTAAGGTTGGGTGGGTTCGTAGAGGTCTAATCTGGACCGCTGCGAAGTTGCTCCGCAAACAGGTCCTGGATGGCCTTGGAGCCTATCTTTGCCTCAGATGATATCAAGCGTCAGCTGCCTCAGGACTCGACTGCAGTCACAATGTTGACACGCCTGGGCTTTGTCCCATTCCATGGAGATTGCGAGCATTCAATTGAATCATATCGAATCAAATTCATATAATTCATTGCTTACATTTGCTTACAACATCTTGATCATCTTGGGCTTTTTCTCGAGGCATCTGCTATCCATGCATTCCCAGGAGTCTGAGTCCTTCGCACGCATTGACAGCAACTTCCGCATGCGCATGGCACAAGTGGACTCCAACAAGAATCTTTGATGCACCGCGGTCTGGTTGAACGGGCACAGGCTAGACAGGTTCTCCAAAGGTGCCACCACGCTTCTTTGAAAGCTAAACCTCATGCCGAGAAGTTACCCTTGAGCTGCAAAGGAATTGCATTGCCATCTCGAAGATTGAGAACATCGTGGAAGATATGACAGAGGCCCATCAGAGCCTGGAGTGCCACATACTGATCATGACATAGTTTAGTTGGACAGACATACATATACAATTCACCAAATAAATTTCATACCATGGATCGGTGAAGGTTTGGATCGGTAGGGTTTCCATGGTATAGATTTTTTTTTTTGAGATTTAAAATGTTTTAAATGATAAACAAATCTCAAAAAGACAAAAAATCTCAAACAATATCAAAAAGTCTCTATATAGCTGTATAAAGGAAATGCTATATTATGAGCTTAGGACAGCTCAAAAAATCTCGAGCCTTTAGATTTACTATTGTTCATTAGATTTACAGAGCCTCAGAAAATCTCAAAAAATCTCAAAAAAATCTCAAACAAATTCAAAACATAAGGCAAGTTTGTGTAGCAAAAAAACTCAAAAACAATCAAAACATAAGGCAAAACCAAAACAATACAAACAACAAAACAAAAAACACAAACAAAAACTAAAAAACACATGAAAACCAAAAAACAAGAAAACACAAACAAAAACAAAAAACACAAATAAAAGGACATATATATGTATATATATATATATATGAAAAAAAACACACAAATGCAAATATATCAAACCTAGGTCTGATCTAATCACCCCACTATTCCATAGTATGTTATTGATCTAGTGAACAATCATACATATGTATATATATATATACATAATGATATACACGTACATATATATATATATATATATGTACATATATATATATATATATGTAGATAGATATATGTAAATTGGTAGCGGAGGATACAACCAATCAAGCAATCTGACCCTGTCAGGAAAATCAATATTGAATGAACCCTGTCAAATCAAGTGGATGATGACCCTGTCGATCAAAGAGATATGAATTGGTGTCCCACACCAAGAGAAAGCGCAGCAAAAGGTTTTGACTCACCGCTCAAGGCTCCATCGCCGATCCTACAGCGAAGTCCACGACCCTCCCACCACGGCCTGAACCAAAAAGGCCCCATGGAGGTTATATGTGGTCCATCCTGGATTCATGATCCATGCTGAAGTCACATCAAGGCATAGATACCTGACAATTCACACTCCCTAAAATCCTTTTTTGATGTGACTCACGGATCCACTGGACTGCCTGTTTCTTGTGAGCGTTCGTCTGCAAGCTGGCATCTTCATCGAACAGTTGGAATGAACCTTGTCTTAAAACTGCTCTGAGAAGGGTGGCATCCATGTTTTTGGTCAATGGATCGGCCAATTGCAACGCTGTGGGAATCCATCTAAAATGACAGTGTTCCAGACATCTTTCCTTAATGAGGAGCACCTCCAAAGTAGTGCGGTATTCTTCACATGATGGCATTGCACGTCGACTGACCAAATCATACAGGGATTTACAATCTGTTACCACCACTGCAGCATGCATGTGACGAAAAGCTTCAGGAGGATTCCTCCATTGAAACTCGGGCAACACTAAGGTGCCCCACAAGAGTCGGCACCAGCTCATTTTGTCAACGCTCCTTGACATGCTGAAAGCTTCTGCGGACAAGGTGGACCGTACCACCCTAGAGATCTTTTTTGATGACCATGAAATGGGACTGATAGGTGCTGTTTGATTTTGTTGTAACTGAGGTGACGTTGCAAACACAAGGGTACCTTGAAACGATGACAATTGTTTTGGACTGGCAAACGAAGCATCCCCAAACACCACATGAGTCAATTGATCCGGATCAATAGACCTGAAAAAAATACTGACGTCACTGGTTTGTTGAGCTTCCCGAAGAACTTTATTTGCTTCCAACAAAGTTTGGATGGTAGGCTTGGATAGCTGAACTTGCACTTCTCCAAGCTTGGCAGCCACATCCGGTCGAGTGTTCGTTGTGGCATACTGTAGGCTACCGATTAAACCGTGCAAGTGAGACATCTCTGTCTCTGACACTGTTTCTTGAGGTGTAGATCTTCTGTGCTTACCAATTTCAATAGGCATGATTGAGTTCACGTAATCTTCTTGACATGCTCGGATACTAAAATCTGGCAATTGTTCAAGCTGAATTCCAGTGAAAACAAATTTATTTTGTTTATATGACCCAAAAGGCAAGCTTTTACGCAGTTCTTCGATTTGGTGATGAAACCATTCATCTCCGCCACATATTCCATCATCAACATGGGTGCCTAGAACTCCGTGGAGAGTACGCTGTCCATCTTTCCAAGATTCAAGAAAATATACGCATGGTTCCAGAGGATGAACTTTGAAACCCAGTTTTTGTAATTGACCTGAAAGTTCCTTATAGAAAAGCAATGGTGCGTCAACTCTACCATAGGCATTCCCAATCAAGGCACACACCTGATTCTCATCAAGTTGCATTCGTTGGCGAAGCTCTTTTGGAGGTTCCATAGCTAGGGGGTTATTTTGATCTGCTTTTCCACGGAGGAATGCGGTCTTGATATCAAAAGAAGTGAGAACCCAATGCATGGAGGAGATAAGTTGTAAAACCGTATGCCTACCCTCACGAGTGAGTGTTGGAGCATCTCTGCTGACTTCGGTTAACCGTGGATCCTGATACCCCAATACAACCAGTCTAGCCTTGGCTTTTCTTCCTGATCCGTTTGTTGTTTCGTTTTCTGGAACATTCTTCCAAGTGAGAACCCATCTTGATTTCAGGATTTGTTCAGGATTCAGGTGTTTTCTCAGCACAGGCTTGAGCGCACTGGTCTGTAGCCAGCAGGAAAGTTCAGCATCCTTGGCGGCTTCAAACAGTTTTCGATCAGCCTGAGTCAGATCCTTGACCTGAACTTCGGCACGAGCCCTCTTTCCGGCAGAGGCAACCTGTGCAAGTTCTTCCGGATGTTCTGCAGAAGACCATTTCAGGATATCCTGACGTGACATGGGAACTTCCAACATGAAACACTGGTGATCCAGAGGCTCTGGAGGATTCTCGATAAAGGGCATACCGTCTTCCGCAAGGCAAACCTGATTATTTTGGGTTCCAGCATGAAAAACATTCCATTCATGTAAGGTTGTATCAGTTTCAAGATGACAAACATCGTGGCATGTGAGAACATCCGCATGGGATTCAAGTCCATCTTCCTGACTCTCAGAGGCATCAAGGTCAATGGCATTATCGGGAGAGTTATCGTTGATTTCTAGTTGAGGGGGATTATTATTATTGGAATTATCTGGAGAATCGTTTATGGGTGTATTGGCAGGATCTGTTTGTGGATCTGGGAACAGTTCACTTTCAGGTTGTACGCTGGATTGGTTACTGACAGGCAATGCAGGTTCTGGAGCAAAACTACCGGGTGAATACATTTCATCTTCCTGATTCCCTGGGGCATTTGTTCTGTGTGGCACCCCTGGGTTCTGAGCATCACTGAGATGGCGCAAATCCTGGACTTGCTGGTCTAAGGAAACTGAGGCACTGTTCCATTCCCGCAGGGACGCTGGACGCAAGTTTTCTGGTGCACATCGCAGCAATTTGTCTCCGTGAGCAATCCACATTGTTGTTGAACCATCACGACAAACAATTCTGGCGGGCCCATGCCAACGTCCTACTTCACGACGACCAAAGGTATTCTTCTTTTTCCAGTACATGACATGTTGACCTATGGTATACGTGTCAACAGGAGGACATGATTTTCGCAGGAGTGCTCTTCGGATGGCTGCGTCATTGTCCGCAAGCAGAAACATCTTTCTGGCTCGTGTACGAACCTCCAGATTCCGTCGAAACTTTTCGCAGTCCAAGTCAGAACCATCGGCCAGACTGTGTGATGCTACTTGTTCATCGGAAGTTAAGGAGGCAGTGACTTTAGGGGATTTACCCAGGACTATCTGCTCTGGAGAGAAACCATCTTGTCGAGACAAGGCATTCTTGGCTTGAAAGCAGGCTCGGAGGACCATATCCAATTCTTGAACATCTTCAATGGTCTTTTCCTGATCATAACGGTGAAGCATGTTCTTGACAATCTGGCCATGTCTTTCGATTCTGCCCTTTTGCCAGGCCTCGGTTGAGAGGCGTGGTTCAATGCTTTGCCTTTGCAAAAAGGTGAGCCATGCATCCGCACAAAATTCTCCTGCGGGATCGGAATAAATTCCGGAAGGTTGACCGGCCCAAGACATCCACATATCATTGAACGCAGGGATAACATGTTCCAAGTGTCGGTTGTCTAAGCGACGTCCTAAATGAAACAAAGAAGCTTCATCAATGCAGTGGAAAATCATGACTTGAAAACCCTTCTTTCCCGTCCAAAAGAAACCGTCAATCCCCAAGAGTTCATTGAATTCCTTGGGTTCGTGCAGTTTGGCAGGTCTTTGATGGCTAAATCTAGTGGTTTCAACGCAGGCATCACAAATGTACTCCTTGGCTGCTTCTACAACTTGCTCAGAAGCCCCTGCTGCTTTGAGATGTTGTGAAAGGACATTTGGATCTGGGTGGCCTAGATTCTTATGAAGCTTTATCAAATCTTGTTTCTCTTGTGGCTGTAGCAAGCGGAATTTTGGGCCATGCAAGGGCACTGGTGGCGGTGCCCAACCTTCGCAAGCTTGGCTGTTGGAACGTTCATGCACAGCCAACGGAAGATTTTGGCTTCCAGTCGCACGCACTGCAGATTCAGGCTCATCGGCCGGGCCGTCTTCACCAAGACCAAGGTCACGAGCATTCGCTGGCACAGATTCGGAATTTGGCAAACTACCAAACATTGTGATCGTGAGATGGCTGGGAATGCTCTTTCTTATCCTTTGGGCTCTGGTACAGTTATGCCAGTTTTCCAACCCCAGGTCATGGATTTCGGATGTTTCTCTGTGAACAGACACGGTGTATCTCAGGGAAAACTGGTGTGACGGTGGGGCTAGGAGAGGAACTTGATATCTCTCAGTACCCCTGCAAACAAACATGTCTGACAACTTGAGAGAGTCCTGTACAATTTCCTGAGCTAGTTGCCAAGCTGTTGAATCTGTGGGACATCGGGCATTGCCAACACGAGGAGCAAATGATCTGGCGGCATCCAGGACATTTTTCCAAGGTTCGGACCTGGAAATCACGGGTGCTACTGGTCCAGAAACATTTGTCCCAGGATTCGGATCCGAGGATTCATGGCCAGAAATTGGAACATCAGGCGCTGCAACATCTTGGGTATCAACCGGTGGAACCTGAGAGAGTCTACGTCTTTTGAAAAGACTCTGATCACTGCGGAGTCTTTTGGTCGGTCTTTCCAGGTTTTCTTCTTCTCCATCTGCATGATATGCCATGGCATGTTCATCAGATCCTACATGATTGTGATGGTTTGTGCAAAGATTTCTGGCCATCATGTCGGCAAAACCACGGCAGTAAGTGGCACAAAAGCTGGTGAGCCTTTGCCGATTGCCATTGATGGAAATGCTCCCTTCAATGTTCTGGTGATCATGCTGATTTGTGCATCTCTGATCATGAACAGCATGAAACATTTGTTTTGAAGAAGTGAGCAACACACTACGTTTGCGAAGGTACTTGTTGGTCTTTGGGATGCGCAAACCAAAACGGCACATATCAAAGCGGGCTGTGGCTGTCTCCTGACGCAAGGATTCAAACATCTTCAAATGAGGGAGACCAGATCCAGCAGGCTGCTCTAGATGGAAATGGCGGCCGTTTCGAATTTGAAACCTGCAAACTTTGGCACACAATCTGACATGAGGAAGCTGAGAAATTTGCTTGGCTTGGATGGCATCATATAGTTGAACACTCTTAAACTTGTTTAAGTGGTTCCAGCCACCCCAGGGACCGCATTCAGGAGCCATCCAGATGTGCTCTGGTTGATATTTCTCTATGACATCCCAAAGCTTTTGACGGCCGGCAAATGTGGCCAGATCTCCATCTTCCTTAGTGAACCTGAGAGCTTTGAGACCCATTCTCTGAACTGCTTCGGTCAAAGGACTGTGTTGATTTGCGTAAACCTCTAGGAGAAATACTCTTTGATGTGGGGTTTTGTTGGAAATCTCTGTGAAAAGTAAATCTTCCATGTGGTGAATGGCCTGTTCAATTTGATCATGGATTTGAATTTTGTCTTGAAATTTGGTTGGCTGTTTCAGCATGTCTTTTGTGGCCTGGACGGCAGCATGGAAGCCTTCAGACTCACTCAGTAGAGCAGGTTCAGCGTCTCGTCCATTTAGATCTCGTTGTGATTGTGGGTCAACCAGAGTTGTCCGAATCGGCAGAAATCTTGGTGCTCCGGCATGAGGGACCCGTAACGGGCCAGGCTCCATTGCAGGTAACCAGGATCCTTCTCCATCACTTCTGAGAAGGTCTTTCCTTTTGTGTTTCCTGCCGAAGTTGATCATGTTGGTCCCCCACTCTGAGATCGTCAGGTTTCCAGGCAGCGGCAAGGTTGGTGCAGGTGGCACCGAGGCTCGCCCTTGAGTCAATTCCACGGGAACTGAAAGGGCCATCTCCTGGACCAAAATGGTCTCCTCCTCGGCTTCGATCTCTTGCCAGCTTGCAGCTTGGGAAACGACGGACGGTGCCCGACTCTTTCGCTGACTGACATTTGGAACCTGTGGCTTGGACAATGGCGTGGAACTTCCGGAGGTCATTGAGGCAATGCTCATTGGGGCTGCTGCAGGCTGAGGTCTCACCTTCTTTTCTGGAGTCTTCTTTTGAACTTCCAACTCCTCTCGGAGGGCTTCCAGTGTGGCGCCCTGTTGTTGAATTTGGCGCATCATATCCTGCAGGTGGGCATGAGTCTCCGGCTCGTTCTCGATCTCCATCTCGGCAAGGATCTCCTGCTTCTCGAGCTGCTGCACTAGGATCTGCAACAGCATGGTGAGAAGCCGGATCAGGGCTTCGGCAATGGTCTTGAGAGCACTGACCATTGGCGGCATGATGGCAATCAGCGGACGAATGCTGTGGGAACGGTGGCACCTGGTTCTTTGAGCGAAAGTCTCTGACTCGCAAAAATCTCTTGGCAGAGGTGGCAGAGTCTTGCATCAGTTGAGAAACCCCTACAACTGAACCCAAAAATTGTTTACTTTTCGAAAGTTCTAACTTATCCCCATTAGAACATCTTACCCCGAATTGTGAATGGGAATGGTCGGTGACACACTGCTTGACTCCCGCATGGGTGAATGCGGTGGCATCTCCTTGGCAAATGTCCAACATGTCGATGAGATACAAACCAGTGGGACTCGTTTGCAACGGAATGGGCTGATATTGAACTTTGGACAAAACACACTGGTCAGTTTGCGTATCCAGTGATCCCTGCAACATCTTAAAGGCTTTCTTGGAAAACAGAAACGGTGTCAAACCACGAACAACTTCAACTGACAACCACAACTTCCTACCATGAGCATGTTTCAAAGGAAGTTGAACTGCATACATACTGGTAAGAGATTGGTTATTTCCAAAACGAAACTTGACTGAGCTATCCTTTTGACGGATTTGGGATCGGATGCATTCTGGCAGCGACTGCTTGAGGCGATGGAGTGTTTTGTCTCCAATGATGCAGCGGCTAGCTCCTGTGTCCAAAATGGCATGTGTACAGAAGTCTTCCAAGCTGCTATATACAGATTCGGCTATGCGAGACCCTGCAAACGGTCGGCATTTCAACTGAACTGTGGCATGGTGTGACTCCTCATCGTCCGGACATTTCCTGGGCAACGATCGTGAACATGGCACGGATGCGGAGGCATTTGGGACAGTATTAAACTTTTGCCTAGTCATGTTGAACTCAAACATCCTACGACTCAACTTGGCAACCCCGACTGCACGACTTTCATGATTGAGGACAAAACATGATTCTTCGGCAACAACAACTGGGTGCGGACTGGCGTCAACAGACGGAAGTTCATACTCATCTTCGGAAATCACTTCATCAGTGTCGGTCGAGGCTTGGAAAATCTCCTGAGGCCTCTCTTCGAACACAACATGGGCAGTGGCTGAAGACGAAGGCATGGCTGACTTCTCCGATTGGGAAGCCTGGGGACACTCGGCTTTCCAATGACCCAAGGCGCCGCAACGTCGGCAATGGCTCTTTGAAATACGCTGTAACAGCGCTTCCCGATCCTTTGACCTCTTGCCAAAGCTTTTGCCACGACCCTTGAACCCCTTGCCTTTTCCTTTCACAGGCCAGAAACCACGGCTCTTTCTCTTTTCCACTAACTTGGAACGGGCTTCTATGTACGACGTGAGAGCTTCGTACATCTCTGGTGTCTCTTGCAAGAAATCTTCAAACTCTCCCTCAAACGTCGATACGGTCAAAGCATCGGCATCATCCTGAGCAATCAGTGCCTCAATGAAATCTGGTTCCAATTCAACTTCATGTTCATCGGCATGAGTGAAAAAGGCCTTCTCATGATGACCAGTATCGGCAGCAGCATGATGTTCATGTTGATCGGCTTCGGAAACATTGACATCATAGACCCTGTTTTTCTGACTACTGCGACCAGTCTGAAATTCATTGAAAAATCGACTGCCCAACAACCTGAAGGCTTTGACTACCGGCCCATACTTGAGCTCTCCACCGTGTTCGAGCAGGATGCGTTTCTTGTCATCCGCACTGAGCGTCGATTGACGCAAGAGAACGTAGGCCTGAACCTCCTCCAGTGTCGTGTTGCGAGCAATGAGCTCAACAAAATTGGCTTCCATCCTAGACAAAAAACTGTCGTGGGACTCGTCATTGCGTTGAACTGTTCCGTACAATGACCTTTCAAAGAACTCGTACCTTTCTTCAAGTTCTGTGGAGCCCCAAGAACCTCCGATCGCCTCCACGATGGCTGCAATGCCATCAGTCGATTTCACCTTCAACTTCTGAGGTGGGATACGGGCAATCTTTTTGAACGCCGTACCCTCCACCAACAACGCAGCTCTAGGAGCTAATTGATCCAGGAAATCCGTAGGCCACAAGGCCGCAAGGAACTTGAGCTTCTGCGTATACTCCTGGACATTTGTCGTCCCTGGGACGAACTTCGGGATTTGACTCCAAGGCAGCTGAGTGCTGACCTGAGTCGGAGCTTCATCATCCGGCACAGGAGGCAAATCTGACTCCTGAGGCGGTGGCATTCTCAAAACTGTTGTAACTGCACACAAATCCAAAAAGGGCTCGGCCTCCCTGAATCACCACTCTTACAGTTGCCAAAGGAAAACGGACGTCCCTGATGTCCACCAAGGCAGCTGGAGCACTAGGCTCCGCTACCAATGTAAATTGGTAGCGGAGGATACAACCAATCAAGCAATCTGACCCTGTCAGGAAAATCAATATTGAATGAACCCTGTCAAATCAAGTGGATGATGACCCTGTCGATCAAAGAGATATGAATTGGTGTCCCACACCAAGAGAAAGCGCAGCAAAAGGTTTTGACTCACCGCTCAAGGCTCCATCGCCGATCCTACAGCGAAGTCCACGACCCTCCCACCACGGCCTGAACCAAAAAGGCCCCATGGAGGTTATATGTGGTCCATCCTGGATTCATGATCCATGCTGAAGTCACATCAAGGCATAGATACCTGACAATTCACAGATATATTAATATATATATATATATGTATATACATATACATATACATATACATATATCATATATCATATATCATATGATATATAATATGCTTGATTTGCTCCTCGACATTTCGCCAATGCCATGTATAATATGTGCCAGTGTTGGGAGAATAGGGAAACTCATGAATTTCTGATGCTGACAGGCCAACGTGACCATCGAGAAAGTTCAGAAGGGACTCAAAGACTACCTCGAGACCAAGAGGCAAACTGTTTGGCAAATCTTGGCACATTTCCAGATGCAGGGCATGTTGGAAGACCGTAAGATTCTTTGCAAGACTTCAACTGCGTGGGTTGCAATGACACCTCTCATTGTTTGTTTGAATTGAACATTGCAATATTGCATCCAATTGTAGGTTGTATTTTCCGCGGTTCTTCTTCTTGAACGATGCCGACCTGCTGTCCATTTTGGCAGAGACCAAGGACGTTTTGTCCGGATAGTTGATTGATGTTGATTGCATAGGGATCAGGAAAGTGCTGGCTAGGGTTGTGGAGTTGTGGAGTGGAAGGCTGTGATCGGAGGGCCATCGCCCATGCTGATGTGATAGCCAGAAACGTGCAGCTTGGGATTCCTTTGAAGGATCCAACTCTGGTGCAACCTCACTTGAACAAAGCCTTCGAAGGCATTGCAAAGGTTCGCTTTGATTCCAAGTGCCAGGGCTGCACGGTAGGGTTGGCCTTTGCTAACTTAGTCTGACCTCAGCCTGCTTCTTCACTCCGAGCGGAATTGAAACGGTAATGGGATGTAATGGGTAGATCATTAGTGTTGAGTGCGAGCAAGCACCGTTCACATCATTTTGCGAATGATTTGATTCTTGAAGGTTTTTCTGATCTGCATCTGGTTCAAGAATACAAACCTGTTTATTGATACGTGCTGTACTTGATACTTGATGGAGGTAGAAGAGACGGATGTGCAGTCGCAGAGATTCTATATACTTCTCCAAAACAATAATACAAATTGATACAAATTGAACAACGCCTCTATTTTTGGCTCATATAATGATGCGACATGCTTTCAAAATGCATTCAACTCATTCCGAGGAATGAAGTCATTGAAGCAATGACCAGTGGAGAGGGTGAAACCGTGGACTTCACCAACAAAGTGGATGTCATGAAGCCGGGCAACGTTGGTGCTGTGGAGTGTTGGCTCGTTGAAGTGGAGGAGTCGATGATGGACATCCTGCGAGAGGTCACGGACAAGTCCAACAAAGCGTATCCCAGTGCCGACCGCGTCAAGAAGCTTGGCTGTGCTCAGAGCTATGCTCAAAATTGCTCAAAGCTATGCCTGGCTTACAACTTTGCAAGTCTCTTTCAAAGTCTTTAATGACTTAATGAGGGGAAACATGCAGCATATATTACAGCATATTTCTTAAATTGACTTCCCTAACACTTGATTTGTCCGACAAGAGCCGTTGTCATGGTATGAGGTGGTGCTGTGAATGGCCTGGACAGGTGGTGTTGGCTACAGAGTCTTGACCAATTTCAGTACTTTTCAGTACCCGAGATGCAGCTGAAGATCCATATGATCCATGCCAAGTATTGCCAAGTAGAGACGGTACGAGATTCATCAACACATATCACACCTCTGAATACTTGAAGCAGAAACAGTGATTTTCTGCGGATCTTTGGGTTTCTGTTTACCATATATAGTTTTTTGCCTTGACTTGCCAAAATATCTCCAGAGCATATGACAAAAATCAAACAGCACGATAGTTTTGGAAACGCGGGAAAGGCTGAAGGCTGAAGATGGTGGAAGCAAAACTCATTTTGCGCCCAGGACATGATCTTCTGGACACAGGAGGTCACATCGGCTCTGAAGTCTGGAAGCATTGCAGAGTACGAAAAGCATCTTGTTGGCGCTTTAGATGTCGATGCGGCATGATTACTACAGTATACTACAGTACTATATATAGCATTTGTATACATTTGTAGAACATCGCTGAATAAATGGTGACACGTTGATATAACAGCAGTGCAATGCAGTGGATGTACATGTGTGGTGACTTTGCACCCGGTTATCCCTTGGTCTTGGTGTCTCTGGCCTGAAGATCAGACTGAGCTGTGGCCGTGGCAATTGCACATTCAATTCACGCGGTATGAAGCACACTCCGGGACGTCAGGAAGCTCTTCAAGCAGCTCGAAGACATTGTGGTCCTGGTGCGAGGACAGTTTGTTTTTGCACACACTCACACACAATTTGTTGAGAACGACATCCCGTGCGTGGACTTGTGTTTTTTGATGCTTTCTCCCATAGTTTTTAGTTTCTGGCTATTGATCTTGCTCACATTTTGACATTGTCCAGAGTCAAGGACAGATGACCAAGCTGAATCGTGTCACCGTCGGCGCAATGGTGACCCTGGATGTCCATGCCAGAGATGAGGCGCAAGCAAGTTGCATGTGTAGCTAGATGTAGGTACCGCTTGTACTCCACCATGTTACCATGTTGTCTTAATGTGTACACAGCTTTCAAAGCTTGCAAAGTCAGAGATGCAGGATGTTGGTATTATGACCTCATTACATGTTGCGATGGCAGAGCTGCGATATTATTGCCCGCTCCCGCTCTATCATTTACATCTCACTGTATTGCAATTCAATTTGGGCAGGTGACAAACCTGGTCCAGAAACGAGTGGACTCGCCAGATGATTTTGCTTGGCTATCGCAGCTGCGATACTACTGGCAGGCCATAGTTTGCTCACAGTCCGCCCTAAAAGCCCGGGAAATGTGGACTGACTGGGTAGTGAATGGATCAGCAGAAGATGACAAACAGGTACAAAAAGAGCAACATATCATCATTCTGGATTTTAGATGTCAAAGATATCATTATATATATAACAATATAATCATTACATATCATTTTATATCTAATATAACATATGTACTATATATATATATATTGTGACGTGCGTTGGCTTCTTTATTTGCCATTTCTGTAAAATCCAGAAACTATTTCTTGCACAGGTAGACACATTAGACACCATTTGATAAATACTAGAAACATCTAGAAACCCATTTGCTAAATACTAGAAACCATTTGCTAAATAAGTAGGATATGTAGAAACTTTTTGTGAAGTAGAGTAGAAAATGTAGAAGCCATTTGCTAAATCATGTTGATTTACCAGGAACCATTACTTGAATCAAAGGGTAATGTTTGCAAGTAAAAGTTGTCATTGACCATGTTATCAGGGTAAACCTGTTCAATCTTGGAACAATCATTTGCCAATAGTAGTTTGTGGTGAGAAAGAACCAATGTCTAATGTCTTTACCCCACATGCCAGTTCAATACAAAACCTGATGTAGGACTAGCGCCCCCTTCGCCCGTGGTTCACCACACTGAAACTGTTGACACGTGAAACTTGAAGCAATCTAGAATCCAATTGGGAATACTATCGCGCCATACCAGTTGAATGCTGTTTCAACCCAGGAAAGGGTGTATCAAACAGCAGAGGCAGGGCATACTCTGTGCCCAATGCACTTTGTGCCAAAGGCGCCATACAACGCTGCGAATACTTCCACACGCGATACTCACAAGTTGTTGGATCCGTTCCCCAACCATGTGGCTAATAGCCTTTGCGGTTGAGTTGGGGGATGTTGTTAGCCGGGCTTTGCCACATGGCATTTTTGACACCTCAGAGGATACCCAAGTCAGGGATTTCCCCAAAAGTCAGGACTCGGTCTCCTGAACTTTTTCTCTATCTGTCCTGGTCTGTCGGGGGAGCCTGGGAGCCCGGTTTCTTCGGGGGCCTACCAGCTCAACCCTCCTAAGATGTAAATATGAAAGGAAACTATTTCTTGAATCCCAGAAACTATTTCATCTAGAACCTATTTTTCAATTTGGGCCCCAAACCCAGAAACCATTTACAAAACCAGGTTTGCTTTTGCCAATCCCAACCATTGGACAAGGATAGCAGTCAATCACTTGAAGTCCAGAGATTGCCCCCCGCACAAGTGAACCATGTTCTCGCCAAGATAGAAAGGCTGCCAAGCTGTTGGCGCAGGCGTTCTTCATTCTCTTTCGTTCTATGTTCTTTGACCCCCATCTCAGAATCAGGCACTGTTACTTTCTTACTTTTCCATCTGTAAAACAGTTTTCATACGATATCGTAATCTATGTCTATATTTGTCAACTTAAGTTTTGTTTGATGATTTAAAGCAGAGTAAGGATGTCACAGAAACCGTTTCAAACCGTTTTCCGCTACTTCCTAGGCAATAGTCTAAAACCGTTTCAAACCGTTTCCTGCTACTTGCTATTCGCTTTGGCAAAAATCTCAAATAGTTTCAAATAGTTTCTAAGTATGGCTAGTTAGCAAACAGTCCGAAACTGTTTCACGCCGTTTCATACTACTTACTAGGTAGTAGTCCGAAACCGTTCCAAACCGTTTCAAACATATCCCTCAGAGGCCTAACTTGCAT